CTTTGCGCCTGGCCCAGGCCCTGGGCGCTCAGGAGATGCGGAGGCTTCCGAGGAGGAGGAATGACTGGTGTTTCTAACCTTTTGCATCACACGGGCAAACGTTGCAAAAGCAATTGGTCGTAAGACCAGCAGGCAATGACTCCATGGTTCTCTCTTACTTCAGGGCAGTTGCCAAAGTGGCTAAGGACCGGGCTGGGACAAGAGCTGGTCATTAACTTGTGTCCCTGGAGGCTTCCAGCTCAGCTGACCAGAGCTAATCCAGGATAAACACTACACAAGACCCTGAGGAGGCAAAGTTTTTGCTTGTCAGGCAAAATATCTTAGAAAGATGATCCCACTTACTTTGGGGTTATCATCTGGTAGATAATTGAAATCGCTTCTCTGTTGGGTGCGGGGCTTCAGTTGGGGACAATTCGAAAATTTCAGTGAATATTTGGTAACCAGAGAAATGGGAAAGAAGGGACTTATCACAGTGATGTTACGCCTTTCACTTTGGGAAGAAGCACATCCTTGCGGGGAAGCTGGAGTATGCTAAAATCACTTTCTTGCTTTTGATGTTGGTGTTTGATATTGAAGCCTTCCCTGATACCAGACAGATGAAATTTTCCTCTATTTTTGTTTTTTTTGTCTTTCCTATTTTCAGAGCCCTGAGATTTCTAGGTGTGTGTGCCTTTGTCCAGCTTCAGTACTTTGTGTATCTTGTCTGGTATGGCAAGTTGCAGGTGCTTTCTTTGGTTAAAACTTTGCCCAGAGAATGAAAGCATCACTGATGACATCAGGTTTTTTTTCTGCTATTGATTCATAAAGCTCTGAGCAATGGCCTTGGAGCAGGCTGCCTATGGGCTGGGTGGGAGGATAGCATTAGCTCAGCTACCGTTATGAATTCAGCTTTGTACAGGAAGGGTTTAATGTGGCTGTGCTAAATAAAAGCTTGGCGTTCATAGAATAATGTTTTCCCCTCTTACTAGTTCACCAAGAAAAGCAGCCTCCCTTGTTGGAGGTAAATAAGCCAATGGATTTTTCAAGGCCTGGCATGTGGATTACATTACATTCTGGAAACTAGCTGATACTTTGCTCTGACAAGTTTGGACTATTGTGTGATTCCCAGGGCACTAGGAAGATTAAAAGATCTTGCCTTCTGGTTTGTTTTTTGACTTGGTTTGATTTCCCCCCCCCCCCCCCCCCCATGCTAAAACAACAGTGAAAAATAAGGACATTTAATTAAAAAGTTTGCCAACATGAAATACATGTTCTACCATGGGAGGTGGAGATAGGGGAGCTGAAAAACACAGACTTCTTGAATGAATGAGTCACCATGACAACACAACTAAAATGTAGCCTTTCTTCTCTGGTTTCAGACAACCATTCCCAAATCTCTTCCTAGATAAGGGTAAGCTTGTCAGGGGCAAACTGTTTTCAGCATTAAGAAATTCCTCGTTATCAAGTCTGCTGGTACTGCTCTGAGGCTGAAGAGCTGGGGAATACTGAGTTAATAATTGTACCTGTGTCTTTGTACTGTTCCTGAGTTAGGGCCTACTTCCCTGAAACAAATCGCAAAGGTGGGAAAGATTCTTACTTGGACGGGGACTGGAAATAACAGACACTACTGCTATTCATTGGCACGATCTGCTTACAGTTTCTGTGAGATTAAAAAAGATGAGCGTCGTGATAGAAGCAGTTCCAAGAAAACTGCATGACTGAGCTGCATTTGTGCCAGAACACAGCAATGTCTTAGCCTTGAGGTCTCTCTTTAAGCTACTTCCAGAGCTATAAAATTAATGTAGCAGGCTTTGCCCTAGAGTGGATGAGGAACATGCTCATGAAACAGCATCTACTGGCTCAGCTCTAATAGTAATGCTCAGCAAAGCATGTGGGAAGCAGCATAGCCATATTTTTGCAGTGAATGCTTGACTCCTAGGATTACTGTGCTAACTATGCAGAGCCTCGAAATACAAAGTTTTAAGTTCGATCAAGCCTGTACAATCCCCTACAATCCATGTGCCTGGAAACACACACTTTATGCTTGGGCATTTTTAAATACTAGGTCACAGAATCATAGAATAAGTTAAATTAAGAGAGACCTCTGTATGTCATCAGTCCAACCTCCTGCTCAAAGCAAAGCTAACATCAAAGTCAGATCAAATAGCACAACTCAAAATTCAGCTGACTTTTAAAAATCTCTAAGGATAGAGCCACGACACCCCCGCTGGATAGCCTGTTCCACTGCCTAATCACTCTCATTATTATCACTCTGTTACAATAATGAGGAGCATCCTCACAGGTGGCTCACTCACAGGTGGTCACTCAGATCTGTATTTTGGTTACTACATCCTCAGGTGAATATGTCACTCACAGAGTAGGTTAGCTCACTCTCAAAAAAAAAAAAAAAAAAGTAAAATTTTAAAAGTTAGATACTACAAGAAAATAATTGTAATTTGGAACCATGTAATTTTTAACTTAGTCAAAATTCAGCCTTGTGCTAGGGTCTGTGCTGAAGCATGTTTGAAGGAGTGAGTTCCTGTTCCAAAGAGTTTCCCATCTAATGAGACCGAGGCAGACCCAGACTCTTTTTATGCTTGGCAATTAGTTCCATCACATGTAAGGATTTGCAGAGGAGCTAGGAATTCCCCTTAGCTCTCCCCAGTTTCCAATGCTTTTAATCACGTGGTCATCCTTCTGCCCAGAAGGGATGGGGACGAAGGTCCCACCTTTCTTATTTTCTGCTCTCGGCACTAGTTCAAGCCTTAGGAGTTATTTTCTCAAAAGAAGAAGTGTATGCCTTTCTTAGGTACAGACTTAAGTCCTTGAACAGATGGAAAAAATTTGAATTCTTCTGTTGTCTCATCAGGAGACTGCCTGCAAATTATCTAATCTTACATAGTGACTGTAGCTTTAAAGAATGTTTTTCGTTAACACTACATTTTCTATGTGAAAGCATACCAAGACCACCAGCTAATTCCATAGCGCCCTGAAGAACTGACAGGTAAATTGGACTAATAACCAGGAAGGGAATACCTTGTTTTTATTTCAGCAGTCCCTCATACTATCAGCCCTGGTTTACCTGACTTTATGCTGATGACTAAGCTTGCTTCATAATTTAATAACTGCAATATTGATCTAGACAGCTTTAAAAAAAAAAAAGCCACCCTGCCTAATTATGTTAACTGGTGAGCCTTGAGGGGTCTTGCGGGTATGTAACATGCAATTAAATACTATCTGATTAAGAATTTCCCTGATGTTGTGATAGTCTCTTGAGTAAATGCTATTTGCATGTCTACATTCTTATCGAAGAACATCTTGTATTTTACTGATTGGCAGTTTCTGCCTGGTCTCCGTGGTACAACTGGGGAGAAGGGAAAGCGGGGGGTGGTGCTGAAGCATTTTGTAGGCTTTCATGAACGATTAAAAAAAATCATTAATAAAAATCTGTTTAAACAGTGTTTGAAGTTACAACAAAGTCTAGGCTACTCAGGGTGAATGCTTAGCAGATGTGCTAGGGTACTGCAGTAAAGCAGGAGCGCTCTCATGATAAGACATCTACAGTGTGGTATTTTTGCAGAGCCATATGTGCCACAGCAGATGCATCGCTCCTGTTGATTTCCTGGCTGCGCTTCGCTCCTGTCACAGCTTCGTTGGTTATCCACTCTCTCCTTGAGCAACTAGTTTTGTATTAAGTTAGAGCATGGATAGATGTTTTAAGTCAGTGAACGTAGCCGGATGTCAGTAGATCTCAATTTCTTTTTTAGTGTCTTAATGCTCCTATCTGCATACAGCTTTCCTGTGTCTACTGAGTAATTTAGCCTTTTGCTACTTACTCATTTCCCAATTTTCTTTTTTCTTTTTTTTTTTTTTTGGTGGGGGTTTGTGGGGGGAGTGTGCTTCAGAGTTTGTTTTTGTTTTTAATACTGAGTCAGTATAAATGCCAATTGGAGCATTTCTCACACCTAGAAAAAAATGGAAGAGTGCCTGTTTCCCATGGATCCTCTGATATGTCCAGGCTTCAGCCTTTCTTTTATGAGGCTGCTAATGGAGCCTGTCTTCCATATTCCTGTTTTCACAAACATTTAGAGAGTGAATATGAGTGAACTCCCTTTGTTTAGATTGGCCAGCAGGCTCAAAAGCAAGTGAGCACATGGATATATGTATAGAAAAAGACTGAAGTGATATATTCTTGTTCCCATTTGCTGTCTCAATAAGCATGTAGAGTATGTCTCCTTGGTTACAGAAATGTCAAGTACTGGTGAAGAGAATCCTTGTGTCACTTGTTACAGTAAAATGCTTTCTTCTTGGATTTGTCCCCCTGAGCACAAGGATCAGGCTCGTTAAGGACATTTGCAAAGTAGAGAATCTGTGACAGCATTATCTTATTGCTGCTTAGAGCATTGCCGGCATTTCGGCCTTGGTGGCTTCACTGGGAATGAAAAGAGCTGTGTACTATGGCAGGATTGGGTTCTTGGGTTCCTAGAAGATGCCTTCAGCTCTGTTAATATTGCAGTGAGGTTAAATCACTGCTCTGAACAGACTGGAAGGAGGTAAAAGGAGGATTTACTGAGGACTGGAGTGAAATTACTGGGAGCTGCAGGCATGACTTTCCATGGACTTCTTGGTGATGGGATGCCAGATTGGTCATGTATAAACTGTGCTAGCATAGCGTGAATCAGATTGCCTGGCTTTTTGTACAAACTCTTCTGGAGTTCCAAAATCAATAACCCATTTAGAAAAGACTAACTGGGCCCTGAATCAACTGTCGACAGAGATGACAACGATAATGAATGACTACGCTGTAGCACCACAGGAAATACACAGCAACAGAAGCAGAGAAAAATGGTTTTGTGTCTTCACTGTCCCAGTTGCTACACCAGTTTTCTGCACTGGTTCACGGGTCCAGGGCACTCTTCCACCTGTCCCTCAGAAACAAGATGGTGTCATTTCACGTTGATCCCCCCACAGTTCTCCCAACTTACTGACCTGTCTTCCTCTCTGTTTTTTTTCATAGGCCATCATTCTGGTACACTGGCTGCTGACAGTGTGGTGAGTGATTGGTAACTGGCCTGGCCTGGGTGAGAAGAGGGTATTCCTTCAAACTAGGAATGCGACATTCTCAGGGAATCAGCACTCCCTGTTTGTGCCTGTCTGTGTGCAAGAAGATCCTAAATCTAAGAGTGGGGTGTTTGCGTGGGAACAAGGATGAGTGCAAACGAACTGTTGCAGGCTTATTGTGAATGTAGGCTGGGTTTTTTTTCTCTTGTTTGGCAGGGGATGCATGAATTACATGTTTCCAGCCTCCTATGCCTGGGGAAATTTCAGTGTCCTTGCAGTGGGGATCTGGGCCATTGTGCAGCGAGATTCCCTTGATGCCATCATGATGGTGAGTGTGCGGGTATTTGCCTCCACCAGGCTGCTCAGGGAGAGGGTGGAGGGCATAGACAGCTTCTTTGAGTCAGTGATGATTTTCATCTGTTCCCAATACAGCAGTGAACAAGACAAATTCCCTGTTTGGGTTGTTTTGGGTTTTTTAAGAGAGTGTATAAATCTATAAGCACTGTAAACCATGGTGAGAAGCATTCACTGTCACTTATTTTGCTTCTCAGAGATGAGGCATACTTGATTCTTACTTTTTTTACCTGCTGTTGTGACTTGTAATGCCAGGGGAGGACTCAAAGCATTTAATATGCTTGAGTTGGAGGGGCTTTATAAAACCCTTCTCTGAACATTGAAGAGATATTGTGAGGTGTCTGTCAGATGTGAAGAAAATGCACGAAATACAAGATCATTCATTTAGGAATCTGTCTACCTGGGGCAGTGTCAAGGGTTATCAATGTGTGATAGTGGGGTGAAGGCATGACTGTGCGCACACAGATCTCGCAGGAAATAGACGCTGTAACTGACTTACTCCTCGTGATTAATCCCCTATTCAGTTCATGTCCCATTCTCTCTTTGTTTCCAGTTCCTGACTGGCTTGCTGCTCACCGTCCTCACAGACATCATTCACATCTCTGTCTTCTACCCTCCAAACAAATATCTCACTGATGCGAAACGTTTCAGTGTAGGCATGGCCATCTTCAGCCTCCTCCTCAAACCTGCGTCCTGCTATTTGGTGTATCGAATGTATCGGGAGCGTGGAGGAGAGTACACCTTGAACATAGGTAGGATGCTTCCTCTGCCTCCAAGTCAATGTGGGCCACCTCCTCTGCTGTTAGGGAGACCACCTTGCACTTTGGACCCTTCAGCCTGAGCTCTGTGCAGCTGGATTCTGCCCCCCCTTCCAGGGAGATGTGGTGCTTGCTCTCTCTTGCTCATGTCTATTCTCCCATTTTGTGGTTCTGGTGTGTTTTAGACCTTAAATGTACATTCTTCCTCTCTTCCCTTGCAGACCTGGAGTCCTCGTCTGGCAGCTGTTTTGCCCACAATGGTATCGATACCACTGCTGTCTCTCTTATTCAGTATAACTGAGAGGCTTTTCCTCTCTTCCTCCTCCTGCATTTGTGTGTGCTTGTTGAAAGTCTTTGGGTGTCCTCTCTTTGCCAACCCTTTCTTTTCCTTCTAGGGGAAAGTAGAGGCAGCATCCCCTCTAGCTGGATTATGCACAAGAGGGAAAGAAGCTGGATTTCTAACTCCATGCTTTCTCCGGGCCTCACATGTCCTAGCTACCTTGATTGCTTTGTACCTCCATTTCCTCACCTGGAAAATGGGACTGATGTTTACCTTGTGGGACTTTGCCTGGAGGCACTCATTTTTCTCCTGATTGTACTTGCTAATGATAATGTGTCAGCCTTGCCAGAGAAAAGGGGCTGTGGCTGGATGTTCTGGGTCTCAGTCAGCTTTGCCAAGCATGCCCGGTGCTAGTTCATGCCAGGGCAGCTGCCAGGGAGTGTGTGCCAGTTTGCTGTGTGGGAGTTCACCCTGGCAAAATCAGGAGCCTGGCACAGTTATCTTTTTGCCTTCATAAGAAGGCTGTGCATGACAAAGGATGGTATAACTGCATTACAGTGTTTGAAAGCTGTCACTTGTGCTGCTTTGATGCTAGCAAAGAAGATAATGGTTCCTGTGCAAAGAGGTGGATACCTGCAGAGGAGGAGAGGCCACGGAAGGAAACCATGGCTTGGGCGCTATGTGCTGTTTGCATCTCTCTGCTAGTGGAATGTGGATGTCTTCTCCATCAGCTACTTCTGCAAATGCCAGACAGATCTGTCTTAACTGGGTCAGAAGGCCTCTGAGTCAACTGCAGTGCCTTGCTGTGGGCCACATTTGTGTCAGATTTTATTAGTTGCTCACTGTGCTTGCAGCTGGGATTTGACATTTGAATGCCATGGAAAGTGTAGGTATCATTGAGGAGTTCATCCCTTTGCTTGGAATCTGGGAGCACTCCTCTTCAACCACACTATCCCAACACAGGCATGATGCTGTCTGAGAGGCTCATCTCAGGCACAGGCTGGAATTCAGACACTGTAGTTTCATATCCTCTCCTGAACTGTCTTTATCACAAGATTTTCAGTACAAACTGTGTGCTGTTGTTTTGTCAACCGTGGTTGACAAATTTCCTCTCTCATTTTCCTGCTGTCTGGCATTTTCCTTTTCAACCTAACAGTGCTGCATTTTTCCTGGTCTTCTCTGTGTCGTTTTCTTTCCACACAAAATCCCTTTTTGTTGCTTGGCAGCATCCTTGCTGCATAGAACAAGCCTCTGATATGGTTTGGTGCGCACCTTTGATTCAGATTGCTTTCTAGCCATGGCAGATGCCTAGCCTATAGATAAAGAGCTTTCCATGCATATTCTCTGTCTGTGTCTCTTCTTTCCCTGCTCATCCCCTGGACAGTAACGGGACAGTTCATAGGGCAATTAGGAGCACTGCTGGATTCAAATTCAGTGCCATGGTGTAGCACACTTGAGGCATAGCTGCATTGTTGGGAAGAGTGGTTCATGGATGAATCATGCTCTTAAATCTATGCTGTCAGCTAGCCATGGTTCCTGCTGGTTTTGTCTGTTCATTTTTCTGCTAGATCTCATAAACTTGATCTTGCTGAAATAGGGTATTACAGGAGCCTGTTATGCTGCTATGTAGTATTGCAGGTGTTGCTTTCCACACAGCCATGTGGCTACTAAGAGAGCAGGTCTCAGGGAATCGAGGCATGTTCAAATGCATCTCAGTTATTTTGCCTTCGTTGGAAGGATGAGGTTTTTTACCTGCTGCCTGTGTAGTGAGGATTGCAGAACACAAGTGCTAGGGAGCTGGTAGAGCAGCTAATGTGGTGTGCTCCTGTGTTGTTGGTTTCTTCTAGGGGATTCATTTCTTCTGCTTTTGTTTTCTTACCAAGCTTGTTCTCTTCCATCTCTATTCAGGTGTCACCCATGCAGGCCGGGATCGCAGCACCTATGAGCCAATTGATCAGCAGGATGCCCCTCCACAGTGGCCTGACTCAAGCAAGACAGCCCAGCAGGCGTACTGAGGCCCTCTCTGCAACAGAAAACGGATGCTTCCCTTGCCAGTCTAGCCTTCTGCTCTTCCCATGCCTGTTCTGATGGAGCAAGACCTGCTACTAAGCAAACAGGAGAGGATCTGATTTTTCATTTCTTTTGCCTCCCTGAAGGTTAGGCAGATGGGTTCCTGCAGTAAGTCCAGAAGATGTCGGAGATGTCATGTTAAGCACTATGACTCTGTAATCCCACTACTCTCCTTTCCCCCCTCTCCCTAAATCCGTCCTCTGTATGTATGAGTGGATGCACCTTCTGCAGTCTTCCAAGTCTTGTATTGTGCATCCTCTCTATTGTAAGTAAGGGAACCACTCAAAATATTCCTGGATAAGCTGTCTTTAAAAGGCTTATGGGCTGCCCTTAAGCAATACAGTTTAGTCTGCTTTTATGCAGATACATTCCCAGGAGACATCTGGGAGTTCCTGAGGGCTGTTTTTGATGGTGTTATTTAACTAAAGATTTATGACCGTAACTCCCTATGCTAGCTGTGGTGGTTTGCACAAAGTTGGGGTTGGTATAAAATGCTCTTACTGGGCCAGGGAGCTGCTTGTGCTCCCAGTATCTAGTCCTGGGTTTTATTCACTGATGCTTTTATGCAAGTTGAATGTCCTTCAGGATCCTTAAAATGGCTGTTGAATGTAGGTTATAGGTACTCTGTGCCTTGAAATACCCTTTTGCCTTCAGCTGCCTATCTTAACAGAACTTGAAATGTTACATTTTTTTAAGAAAACTATAAAATGAACACAGTTTTTCCTGTGTTAGAAAAAGTTACACTGGTCACCTATGTCTCATTTGACAATGTATTCCTGAGGGTTTGGGACTGTAGCCAGGCAGTCTGGGAGAGTCATTATGGGGGAACCTCTACAGGGCTTCGATGGCTTTTAGTCTAAGCTTTACTCAGACAAGTAGAGGGTACTGCTTGTAAATGTGTGGGTGGGAAGTTGGGCTAGTAAAATGAGGATTGAGGAAAGGAAAAGATGGGTTTATTTACACTGCAGTGGTGAGCTCTGTGGGTGTGACAAACTAATCTTATGCACAATAAATCTGCCCTGCTGTGCCTTCAGGTAAAATCCTAAAAAAAAAAAAAATGTTCAACAGTATTCTTTTTCAGAAGAAAAAGAGTATGTCGGTTTGGCAGAATTAAAATACTAGTGCTAGGATGATCTGCATTTTTCTGAAGCAGTTTCATTTTCAAAGTTTACATCTGTTATTCTGTAATTGCATTTCTTTGACAAGACCTGCTGCTGCATTGATTCTTCAGTGACAAAGTGCCATTAACTTTGCTCTAACCTCTAGAACCATGCCATTTGTATTTTTAAAACCAAGCAATTTTCTCCCAAGTTTCATCACTTTAAACATAAACAGATGCTTCCTCCGCTATGCTGCACAAGCACTACAGTGACCTGCTGCTGTACCTGGACCACCATCATTTACGCTTGGACCAGGCACATGGTAAATGCCATAAAAGTGCAATAGTCTGGCTTACTCTCCCAAGATGAGTGCTATGCATTCATTTTGCAGGCTGCCATGCAATAGAGCATCGGAATAGGAATCAGTCTGCTCTTGTGATCATATCAGGAAGAAAGAATAGGTAGGCAAAAATTTCTGGGGCTGGTGGAGTTGCAGAGCAGGCCTTTATATTCATTTAATGTTTTTTTTAGCTCTTAAGAACTGTACAGTGACAGCATGCATTTAAACGCTCAGGGTTTTTCTTCCCTAGACGTGTGAAGCACCGACTGAAAACAACTATTTTAAATGCAATGCTTTTTTTTGCACGAACAAAGAGTTACACCTAGTGAGGCCTTCCCAGCCATTCTCCATTGCAAAGGACACCACAACATCTATTGATACCCATCTAGCTGACCTGCTGAGTGCTTTTCTGTGGAGAATTCAGCACATCTGGGAGCTCAGGGGAGCGCAGCAAGGCAGGAGTTATGCTAGGTTTACTGTGCCTCAAGGATACCTATTTTGGGCAGTAAATCAAAGACTTGATGATAAAAACAAGGCCCCCTCTTGGCTTCTGAGGAGGAGGGTGTTTATTTCGGCAGTGCTACACTAAGCACCAACGCGCTCTTGGATCAATACCTGGTTTAGCAGGGCTTGTGGGGATTCATCGAGCACAGCCTTGCTGATCCCGGCAGCCTGGCTTCACCACGGGGCTCCTCAGAGCTTGTCAGCGGGGTCTCCTCAGGCAGATGTGCAGCAGGTGTGATACTCCGCTCAGGTTTTTTTGCGGTTTTTTTTTTTTTTTTTAAATCCTCAGGTGCTGATGTGCCGGGTTTTTTTTTAGCGATGAGCTAGCAGCTCTTTAGGATTAAGCACGGCCCTCCCTCAGCGGCGGGGTCCCTCCGGCGGCCCGGCCCGCGTGCCTAACGGCCGGCCTCCACCGAC